GGTACTACAGGTACAAACGGGTACTCGGGTAACGGGGTACTACGGGGTACTAACATACTGCGGGGTACTACAGTACACAGGGTACTACAGGAACTAGGGGGTACTACGGGTACTACGGGGTACAAAACGGGTAGGGCTGGTACTACAGGATACGGGTACACAGGTACACAGACACGGGGTACGACGGTACTACGGGGTACTAACAGTACTCTGGTACACGGGTCTACAGGGTACTACGGGGGACTAACGGGTACTACAGGTCACAGGTACTAACAGGTACTACAGGGTACTAAGGGTACTACGGGTACTAACAGGTACTGCGGGGACTACGGGGGTATACGCAACAGGGACTACAGGACTACGGGGTCTACAGGTCTACGGGGTACTACAGGTACTAACAGTCGCGGGGGAACTACGGGGTCACAGGGTACAAAACGGTACAAACGGGTACTACGGTACTACAGTACTAACAGTACTAGGGGGTACTACGGGGTATACAGGACTGCTGGGTACACGGTAACAGGTACTAACGGGTATTTGCGGGGTACTACGGTACACGGGGGACTACAGGGTACTACGGGTACTACAGGTACGCTGGGTACTACGGGAACTACAGGGTACACAAGGTACAAACAGGGTACTACAGGGTACTAAAAGGTACTACGGACTAACAGGTACTGCTGGTATACGGGTAATACGGGGTATACGGGGTACTACGGGTACTAACAGGTATGCGGGTACTACAGGACTACGGGGTACTACGGGGGTTTAACACAGGTAAACGTACTACAGGACTACAGGGTACTACAATAACGGGACTGCGGGGTACTCAGGTACTACAGGTCACGGGGTACTACAGGTACTACAGGTACTACATGTACAAACGGGTATTTTGCGGGGTACTACAGTACACGGGGTACTACAGGTACTACAGGGTAAAACGGGTACTACAGTACTGCTGGGTACTACTTTACTGCGGGGTACTAACAGTACGCGGGGTACTACGTACTGCTGGGTATAACAGGACTACCGGGTACTAAATACTGCTGGGTACTACAGGTACACAGGACACAGGTACACAGGTACTACAGGATGCGGAAACACAGGTACTACAGGTACTACAGGTACTGCGGGGGTACAACGGGGTACTACCGTACAATGGGTACGCTGGGTACTACAGGTATACAGGGTACTCATTTACTGCGGTACTACGGGTACACAGGTACCATTTTCTGCGGGAAAAACAGGGTACTACCGGTACAAAAGGTCTGCGGGTACACGGACTACGGGGTACACAGTGTACTAACGGGTACTACAGGTCTAACAGTACGTGGGTCTACAGGTACTGCGGGGTACTACTTTACTGCTGGGTACTAACGGGTACTGCGGGGATACCGGGAAATGCTGGACTACGGGTACTGCTGGGTACTAACAGGTACTGCGGGGTAACAGGTATGCGGGGTCTACAGTACTGCGGGGTACTAACGGGTACGCGGGGAAAACTACGGGTACTGCTGGGTACTACGGGTACTGCGGGGTATAACGGTACTGCTGGTACTACCGGGTACTGCTGGTATACAGGTACTGCTGGGTACTAAAAGTACTGGGGGGTACTAACAGGTCTGCGGTACTCCCATACTACAGGGTACTAAAAAACTTTTTGGGGGTACTAAGGACTGCGGGGTACTACATTACTGCTGGGTACTAACGGGTACGCGGTACACCATACCTGGGTCTAATATCTGGGTACTAACAGGACTGCGGGGTACTACAGGACGGCGGGGTAACAGGTACTGCTGGTACTAACGGGAGTCCCGGGGTACTCGGGTCGCGGGTACTAAGGTACTCTGGGTACTAACGGGTACTGCGGGTACTCCCATACGCTGGGAAATACGGTACTGCGGGGATAACAGGTATTTGCTGGTACTACAGGTACTGCTGGTACAACAGGTACCCCCGGTACTAATGGGACTGCGGGGATACGGGTACTACAGGGACTACAGGTACTCTGGTACTACAGACACGGTACTACGGGACGCTGGGTACTAACAGGTACTACCGGTACTAAAAGGTACTGCTGGGTACTACAGGTACTACAGGGTACTACAGTGTACTAACAGGTACTACAGGGTACTAACAGGTACTGCTGGGTACTACAGGTACTGCTGGGTACTACATGTACTGCTGGGTACTAACAGGTACTGCTGGGTACTACCAGGTACTGCTGGGTACTACAGGTACTGCTGGGTACTAACAGGTACTGCTGGGTACTACAGGTACTGCTGGGTACTACAGGTACTGCTGGGTACTAACAGGTACTGCTGGGTACTACAGGTACTGCTGGGTACTACAGGTACTGCTGGGTACTAACAGGTACTGCTGGGTACTACCAGGTACTGCTGGGTACTACAGGTACTGCTGGGTACTACAGGTACTGCTGGGTACTAACAGGTACTGCTGGGTACTACCAGGTACTGCTGGGTACTACAGGTACTGCTGGGTACTAACAGGTACTGCTGGGTACTACAGGTACTGCTGGGTACTACAGGTACTGCTGGGTACTAACAGGTACTGCTGGGTACTACAGGTACTGCTGGGTACTACAGGTACTGCTGGGTACTAACAGGTACTGCTGGGTACTACCAGGTAGCGTGGTACTATCTGGGTACCTCCAGAACAGATGGAGGGTACCTAAAGTGAACTGCTTGGATTAAACCTTATTGGGAGGTCTGGGGGAGTATTGGGGAGGTTACTGGGAGGGAGGAGCCTCTGGGGGAGTAATGAGGAGGTTACTGGGAGGGAGGAGCCTCTGGGGGAGTAATGGGGAGGTTACTGGGAGGGAGGAGCCTCTGGGGGAGTAATGAGGAGGTTACTGGGAGGGAGGAGCCTCTGGGGGAGTAATGGGGAGGTTACTGGGAGGGAGGAGCCTCTGGGGGAGTAATGAGGAGGTTACTGGGAGGGAGGAGCCTCTGGGGGAGTAATGAGGATAATAGAACTAGGTAGATTAGATCTGTTATCCTTTATCTCGGTTCTGTTCTAAATTCAACCAGCAGCTGCTGGTTCTGGTGTTTGGATCCTGAGGAGGAGGAGGAGCTCCAGTTGCCTCCACTGGTTCTGGTTCTGGTTCTAAATGGACCGGATCCAGTCTCTACGTTTCCACCTGTTTTAACTCTGTGTAAATTCCCACCCGTTTGGGGCCCTTGAATGCATCAATGTCCTGTTTCTCCGCCTTCATTGAGGGGCTCATTAGGGTAGAGGGGCACCAGGTGAGCCCATCTAGGCTAATGAGAGTTTTGTCCATTCGGGGTTCCGTAGATTCTCTGTCCAATGATCGTTGGGAGTCCTGCTGCCTGCTGCACCAGGATCTGGATCCTGGATGCAGGATCCAGGATCCCTGATCCTGGTGCTGCTGGAGGAATTGTGTGTTTTCACCCGGTTGTGTTGCTGATGGAGATTGCTGCTGTTGGTTTCAGACTAACAGGTTTCCTCTAGAGTTGGGTTTTAGCACCAGCTCTACAGAACCGGAAGGAGTTCATTACTGATGGATGAGCTGATTGGACCCAGCTCTGCAGGACTGAGTGACGTCACGTCAGATTCATTTCTCTCACTTAATATTATTTTATCTCATTATCTTGGTAGTTACTACTATGGGTATTTCTAGAGTCTCAGATTGCTTCTAGTTTTCTCACGGGTTCCTGTCCTTTATTGGATTTTAAATTAGAATAATAAAGTTTTTATTCTAATAGGGCTTGGTCGTCGTGACGTAAGCACTTCGCGTCGCCGCCATGTTGAATGCGTCTTTTACCGCGGCTCAGACTACTGCCTATGACTACCGCGTACTGTACTCCCTCTCAGCCGTGTTTTAATTTGATTAATTTCACCTTAACTTGATTTCAACCATGGTAAACCGTTGCTGTATTGCGGGCTGTAACAGCGCAACACGTGATCACCATGGGAAAAACATAGAAAATGGGTTAACTTTCCACCGCTTTCCTGCCTGGAGGCGTAACCATGGAGACCAAGCGTCAGAGATAAAGAGTCGTCGGCTAGCTTGGATCGCGGCTGTAAGACGACCGAACATAACTTTCCACAGTATTCCAATGTCATTGAGAGTGTGTTCCCTGCATTTTCATTCTGGTGAGTTAAAGATGCACGGTTTTATTTTATAGCCTACTTTATTTCTTCCCTTCAAAGTTGGGATCTTTTACGGGAAAATAATAAAAACGGCAGCGGGAAAAGGCTCAAATACATGAGAAACCCGGAGGGTTGGCAGTTAACGTTACTAACTACACCTTTTAAACACATAGCAGCTAGTTAAAAGTAGATTACATGCGTGAGTGGTTGTTAGCATTAGCGGTTACTAAACTAGCAGGTTCCAGAGCCCGTCTGATCACAGCTTACCTTCGTACGGATTACTGTGATCCCACTGTTTGCTGGCTTTATGATCTGCAGCTCCTGAACCCATCCATTCATGAACTGCACATGAGACTCCAAGGACTTGTAGCTTGGGAACTGTTTTGAAGTATAGGCGCTCACTCATCGGTGCTCCACTCATTGTTTGGAACTTTATATGGATCCAAATGATTAATAATGCTGATTTTGTCACCATACCGGTCCCTGGCTTCTCTATTTAATGTGTCCCGGTAAATTCCAGATCCTTTTCGGGATTTTAACATATTTTTTCTCTCTACTTCTGTCTCTTCTTTCAACAACAACGTTGTGTCAGAGCTAAGGTTACGTTTGCGTAGCCGTCAATATGGCTGCGACGTCCCACAATGCAACGTGGATCCCGAGCCCTATAGTAAAAAATAAAATATATTTTTATTTCTGTTTCATCATTTTAAGTCAGACCCACATTTGTCTTTTTAACTGGGAGACTTTAGGCAGCTGATGTTCTATTTAGAGGTTTTAGAGCCTCAGTCACACCGAGAGTCAGAGAACCGAACCAGCACCGAGCCCCCCCTGCTCCTCCTCCTCCCCCTCCCCCGCTCCTCCTCGGTCAGGCTGCCTCCTGCAGCCTCTCAGAGCAGCAGCACCTCCTCTATGAAGTGAGACCTTCTTCTCCGTCGCTTCCAGAACCAGCGCGTCAGAAACTCTCCTCCTTTCTCCCGGAGGTTCTGCTCCGGTTCTGCTCCGCGGTTCCGATCACCTCCCGTCGTGACGGACTCTTCGCTCCTTCTGCAGTCGAACCGGGTTCGGTTCTCCGCCGGATTTAGGAGACCCGGTTCTGGATTGGACCAAGTTCCTCCTGGACTTTCAGCATGACGGCCACGAAGGAGCAGCAGAACCAGAACCAGAACCAGAGACCGAACCAGCCGCAGCAGGAGGAGGTGAGCTGCTTTCATCTCACACCGACCGAATAGATGAGGAAGAGGAGCAGAGACTCCTGATAGATGAGGAAGAGGAGCAGAGACTCCTCATAGATGATGAAGAGGAGCAGAGCCTCCTGATAGATGATGAAGAGGAGCAGAGCCTCCTGATAGATGATGAAGAGGAGCAGAGACTCCTCATAGATGATGAAGAGGAGCAGAGACTCCTCATAGATGATGAAGAGGAGCAGAGACTCCTCATAGATGATGAAGAGGAGCAGAGCCTCCTGATAGATGATGAAGAGGAGCAGAGACTCCTCATAGATGATGAAGAGGAGCAGAGACTCCTCATAGATGATGAAGAGGAGCAGAGACTCCTCATAGATGAGGAAGAGGAGCAGAGACTCCTCATAGATGATGAAGAGGAGCAGAGACTCCTCATAGATGATGAAGAGGAGCAGAGCCTCCTCATAGATGATGAAGAGGAGCAGAGACTCCTCATAGATGATGAAGAGGAGCAGAGACTCCTCATAGATGATGAAGAGGAGCAGAGACTCCTCATAGATGAGGAAGAGGAGCAGAGACTCCTCATAGATGATGAAGAGGAGCAGAGACTCCTCATAGATGATGAAGAGGAGCAGAGACTCCTCATAGATGATGAAGAGGAGCAGAGCCTCCTCATAGATGAGGAAGAGGAGCAGAGACTCCTCATAGATGAGGAAGAGGAGCAGAGACTCCTCATAGATGATGAAGAGGAGCAGAGACTCCTCATAGATGATGAAGAGGAGCAGAGACTCCTCATAGATGATGAAGAGGAGCAGAGACTCCTCATAGATGATGAAGAGGAGCAGAGACTCCTCATAGATGATGAAGAGGAGCAGAGACTCCTCATAGATGATGAAGAGGAGCAGAGACTCCTCATAGATGAGGAAGAGGAGCAGAGCCTCCTCATAGATGATGAAGAGGAGCAGAGACTCCTCATAGATGATGAAGAGGAGCAGAGACTCCTCATAGATGATGAAGAGGAGCAGAGACTCCTCATAGATGATGAAGAGGAGCAGAGACTCCTCATAGATGATGAAGAGGAGCAGAGCCTCCTCATAGATGAGGAAGAGGAGCAGAGCCTCCTCATAGATGAGGAAGAGGAGCAGAGCCTCCTCATAGATGAGGAAGAGGAGCAGAGACTCCTCATAGATGAGGAAGAGGAGCAGAGACTCCTCATAGATGAGGAAGAGGAGCAGAGACTCCTCATAGATGATGAAGAGGAGCAGAGACTCCTCATAGATGATGAAGAGGAGCAGAGACTCCTCATAGATGATGAAGAGGAGCAGAGCCTCCTCATAGATGATGAAGAGGAGCAGAGCCTCCTCATAGATGATGAAGAGGAGCAGAGACTCCTCATAGATGATGAAGAGGAGCAGAGCCTCCTCATAGATGATGAAGAGGAGCAGAGACTCCTCATAGATGATGAAGAGGAGCAGAGACTCCTCATAGATGATGAAGAGGAGCAGAGACTCCTCATAGATGATGAAGAGGAGCAGAGACTCCTCATAGATGAGGAAGAGGAGCAGAGCCTCCTCATAGATGATGAAGAGGAGCAGAGACTCCTCATAGATGATGAAGAGGAGCAGAGCCTCCTCATAGATGATGAAGAGGAGCAGAGCCTCCTCATAGATGATGAAGAGGAGCAGAGACTCCTCATAGATGATGAAGAGGAGCAGAGCCTCCTCATAGATGATGAAGAGGAGCAGAGACTCCTCATAGATGATGAAGAGGAGCAGAGACTCCTCATAGATGATGAAGAGGAGCAGAGACTCCTCATAGATGATGAAGAGGAGCAGAGACTCCTCATAGATGATGAAGAGGAGCAGAGACTCCTCATAGATGATGAAGAGGAGCAGAGACTCCTCATAGATGATGAAGAGGAGCAGAGCCTCCTCATAGATGAGGAAGAGGAGCAGAGCCTCCTCATAGATGAGGAAGAGGAGCAGAGACTCCTCATAGATGAGGAAGAGGAGCAGAGACTCCTCATAGATGATGAAGAGGAGCAGAGCCTCCTCATAGATGATGAAGAGGAGCAGAGCCTCCTCATAGATGAGGAAGAGGAGCAGAGCCTCCTCATAGATGATGAAGAGGAGCAGAGCCTCCTTATAGATGAGGAAGAGGAGCAGAGACTCCTCATAGATGATGAAGAGGAGCAGAGCCTCCTCATAGATGATGAAGAGGAGCAGAGCCTCCTTATAGATGAGGAAGAGGAGCAGAGACTCCTCATAGATGAGGAAGAGGAGCAGAGACTCCTCATAGATGAGGAAGAGGAGCAGAGCCTCCTCATAGATGAGGAAGAGGAGCAGAGACTCCTCATAGATGATGAAGAGGAGCAGAGACTCCTCATAGATGAGGAAGAGGAGCAGAGCCTCCTCATAGATGAGGAAGAGGAGCTGATTGAAGTTGAAGCAGCTGAGGACAGCTGTCTCCAGCTGTGACAGGAGGAGGAAGAGGAGGAAGAGGAGGAAGAGGAGGAGGAAGAGGAGGAGGAGGAGGAGGAGGAGGAGGAAGAGGAGGAGGAGGAGGAGGAGGAGAGCTCGTAATTCAGTCCTAGAAAGGGATCATAGTTTCATCATCAGGTGAACTCAATGGTTCACTTCTATTCACATAATGACCTTCAATTCTATTCAGTTTATTTCTATAGTTTCAATTCACATCATCTCAGCCCACTTGATAGAAATACTTTATTATTTTTATTATTATTATTTTTACAGTGTCCTGTCTGTAAATGAGGCAATAATAATAATTGTCTTGATGCCAAAGAGACCAACAGGTTTTACTGTCACCAGTGGATCAGTGCGGCTATCGCCATGGTGATCTGCTTGATTTATGCATATAAATAGCTTTATTATATTCATGCAGGGAGTTTTACAGATTATATGGACGCTGCAATGTCAGTAGAACAGGAAAGGAAAAACGGGAAAAAGGAGAAAAGATGAAAGAAAGAGGAGATAAAGAAAGAGCATGACATTAATGCATAAAGACCTGCTCTTTATTTCAGATTTAAATTCTGTTTAAAGTAACAGATTATAATTGAAAATGTCTCTGTTCCTTTACTGGTTGATGATTTTCTTTATTTGGACCCAAATGGTTTTTAATTGTTACTCCTGCAGTAGAACCTCCTCTACTGCTGGGGTTCTCCTGCTGGACCTCCTCCTCTATCTTTGGTCTCCTGCAGCTTCTAACCAGTTTGCTGCTGATTCAGCTCCATCCACTCTGAGCAGCTTTGCTGTCCCACAGCATGATGCTGCCCCCTCTGTGGTTGACTGTGGAGATGATGTTTCCTTTGACCGTTCCATGTTGGTCTCCTCTGATAAGAACTTCTTGTGTGTGTAGATGAGCTTCCAGCATGTAATGTTCTCGCCTCTTCGCTCCCCTCGGGTTTTTGAAAGCTGCTGTCTGTATAGCGCCCCCCGCCTCTGTGATGAGTTCTTGCAGGTTCTGCAGCAGGTCAGGCTGGACTTGGAGCGTGCTGATGCACGGTGGAGGCTCCTCCCCACAGGGTTCCTTCCATCAAAGGTTCATGCAGAAGCTGAAGGAGAAAACTGTTGTTTTCCTTAATCGTGAAGCAGAAGAGATGTTCAAATGTTCTGCCTCTTTTCTAAAGTTCAGGGTTTTTTTTTTAAATCAAAGCTTATTTTCTGTTTTTCTGCCGAATAAAAAGAAACCCTGAAGAAGTGGCCTCGGTGGCTGGAATAATAATCTGTCTCCTTTCTCTTTGTCAGGATTTCTTTCATAGCTGAAGTGAATTTAATCAGGAGCTCCTCTGAGGAGCAGAAATGACCTCCATGGTCAGCATAGAGCGGAACCCTTTTTATAAACTAGCCGTAGCTAGCTGCTACGATGCTACGCAAAGAGCCGAGCCTGAAACGGCATCAGGATGCGTTAGAAAATCCATCCCAATGACTGCAGAGCGACTGGATGCAGTGGAGCTGCTCAAGGGTTCCTGGGTAGAAATGAGTTGAACTGAAGGAGACTGAACATCAGCAGATGATCAGATTGTTCTGGAACCATCAGCTGAAAGTGTTTCTAATAGAATCCTTTTGGTTTGGGTTTTATTTATCCTGCTTGGTATCAGAGGAACGTCAGATATTATCGTCACATTGAAATGTAGCTGGTTTTCCCTCCTAATGAGCTCAACCATCGGATCTGCAGTGGATCAGATGCTAAAGACCATGAAGCTGCTGCAGCATCGGGTTCCTCCAGCCGCCTCATTTATCATCCCACTATACCTGACTGCTGCTGATAGAATTAAACCTGGTTTACCCACACGCTATCTGAACCAGAACCAGATCCAGAACCAGAATCAGAACCAGAACCTGAACCGGAATCAGAACCGGAATCAGAACCGGAATCAGAACCAGAATCAGAACCAGAACCTGAACCGGAATCAGAACCGGAATCAGAACCGGAATCAGAACCAGAATCAGAACCAGAATCAGAGCCGGAAAGAGAACCAGAATCAGAACGAAAACCAGAACCAGAACCGGAAAGAGAACCAGAATCAGAACCAGAATCATAACCAGAATCAGAATTAGAACGGGAATCAGAACCAGAATCAGAACTGGAATCAGAAACAGAACCAGAATCAGAACCAGAACCAGAAAGAGAACCAGAATCAGAACGAAAACCAGAACCAGAACCGGAAAGAGAACCAGAATCAGAACCAGAATCAGACCCAAAACCAGAGCCATAATAAGAATCAGAACCAGAGTCAGAATCAGAACGGGAATCAGAACCAGAATCAGAACTGGAATCAGAAACAGAACCAGAATCAGAACCAGAATCAGAACCAGAATCAGAATCAGAACCAGAACCAGAACCAGAATCAGAACCAGAATCAGAATGAAAACCAGAACCGGAAAGAGAACCAGAATCAGAACCAAAACCAGAGCCATAATAAGAATCAGAACCAGAATCAGAACGGAAATCAGAACCAGAATCAGAACTGGAATCAGAAACAGAACCAGAATCAG